GAATGTGAATGTATCGTCCGTTGTTGATCGATTTTTAAACGTTTTATTACATGGAACTTCAGGAAAGTATATCAAATTTCAGGAAAATTGTATAGAAGTTTTTACAAATTTAGGAAAGTTTAGTAACAAATCAGGGAAGTAGGAGCTTATAAGAGCATTTTCGTTAACTTCAGGGATGTTCCAAGAACTTTAGGGAATAGGTAATTTTCGAGAGTTACCGAAAAGTTCAGAACTTTGAGATATTTAAGAGTTAATTAAAAAAAAACTACAGTTATTGAACTACAGGAAAAATTCAGGAATTAAGATGAAGAACAGAAAACAGAACGCGACAATTTTATTTACATCAAGGAATTTTCAGCAACTTTGGAATTGTTGAAGCTGTAGGGAAGTTCCAAAAATTTCAGGAAGTAATTAGAGTAATTAGGGACCGTTTAATTAACTTGCAGGAACTCAACAGATTTTCCAAAAATAAAGTCCATAAATCTTCAAAGTCCCATGTAAGTCAGAAGCATTGCGAGATTTTTAAAGAAGTTCCGAGAATTTCTGAATTTTTTTTTAAACTTTATGTAAGTTCCAATAGAATCATGAAAAATGCGGGAACCTTCAAAAATGCGAATTTCTTGGATTTTCGAGTTTCGAAAACTTGAGGATGGTTCCGAAAAATTTAAGAATGTCCAAAACTACGCGCAAGTTTTAATATCATTCAGATCCGTACCGATAGCTTCCGGGAAGCTCGATTGATTTCAGGAAAATTTCTAAAAATTCAAAGAAAATCAAAGAACTTCAGGACAGTATCATTAACTTCACAAAAGTTGCAGAAAATTTACAGAAATATCCAAAACTTCCGTTAAGTAAAAAGATCTTAAAGGGAGCTACGTAGCTGCGAGCAGTTCTGAAAACTAAGACCATGATTATCAGGAAAATTGTGGGAATTTTAGGGAAGTTCCGCGGGCTCCAGACAAATTCTGAGAACCTCCTCAATGAACTCAGGAATATTTGGGAACGTAGAAGTTTCAAAAATAATTGAGAGTATCAGGGAAGTTTAGTGAACTTAAGAAAAAAAAATCGATAATTCAAATTTAGAAAACGTCAGGAAGCTTAAAGATACTTAGGGCAGTTTGACAGATCTTTGGGAAAGATTGAAGATTTTTATGGGTAGGCTCCAAGAACTTCAGTTCAGATCTATGAACTTTTGGAATTTTTTGTGAACTTAGATGCAGATCAGAGAACTTCACGAAACTTCAAGGAAATTTCTGGAACTTAACAAGACTTTCCGGAAACTTCAGAAAACTTCATAAAACTTCAGTTAAGTTCAAAAATCTTTGAGAAAGTTCAGAAAGCTTCGGATTAGTTCTGAGAATGACATGACAGTTAAAAGAACATCCGGAAAATTGTGTAACTTGAGGCAAATTCCAGAAACTTCATAATAATTGCAGAAATTTTTCAAATTTTCCAAGAACAAAGCCCAGAAACATTCATCCAAGTTTAGAGTTCTACGAAAGTCAGATAAATTGCTGGAACTTTGAAGAAGTTCCAAGAGCAGTAGGAAAACTTTGCTAACTTTATGTTTTTTTGATTAACTCAAGTTCTCACATTTTACCTTCAGGAAGGTCTGAGAATTTTGTGGGTATTCCAAGAATTTAAAAAGGAAGTTCAGAAAACATTAAAAACTTTCAAAACAACCTGGAAGTTTTAAGATCTTTGTGGTAGGTTCCGATAGCTTCAGGGAAGTTCCATAGATTTCTGGAATGTTTCGAGAACTTCAGTGAAGATCAAAGAGCTTCAGAGCAGGTCCATTAAATTCAGCAAACTTAAGGAGCTTCAGTTGCAAAACCTTCAGTTAACTTTAACGATCTTAAGGGAAGCTATGGCAGTTATGAGAATTCAGGGCATTTTCATCATTGTCATGAAAATCAAAAAGTTCCAAAAATGAATGACATTCTAGAGAACATCGGGAGGTTTAGAGAACAAGAAAAATTTCGGAAGCTTAATAGAAATTAGAAAAAAAAATCCCGATACTACAAAAACCTTGGTGAAGATTAGAGGTATTTAGGGTAGTTTAATTAATTTCAATGCAATTCCAGTAACATCATCATAAGAGTAGTGAGAACTTCAGAATAAAGTTATGAGGAATGAAAGGAAATACCGAGGATTTTGAAGAAGTTTCATGAATCGACTGCGGGATAATAACCCAAGTAGCAATTAAGCAACCATTTTGCATCCACTCTGATTTATGATGGTTTTATAACGGCAATGAACAATCCATTTTGTTTCAATATAGCATTTCAAAGTGTAAAACATTCCTGCTTAGTAATTTAGCTTTTTGCTGTTTTAAAAACCTTTTATAGTCTGGCAAGAAAGTCAAAAACTGTCTTGTTTTATAAATAAATTTAAACAGTTATCAATCCCTCCTTAAAACTGTTCTGTAATTCAAGCATAAACGTCATTAGCAATTTCTTATTAATATATTGATGAAATACTTTATAAACGTGTTCTATCATTATAAATGCAATCATAAAACCATTAGGTTTTGCATTAGAGCAAAAAGCATTTATTGTTGCTTTTTAGGCTTTTTAAAGTGCATCATTAACTCCCCAAATTGTTTACAAATTGAGCTTAAAAGATGGTTCGTCATAGTTAATAAATGCCAAATTTATGACAAGGAAATCTCGAAGGATAGACGAAGTAGGAGGAAAAATTCAAGTCGATTTCAGCAAAATTTGCTTTTTTTAAAGAACCAGCACACCATCAACGACTGACCATCTGGCGGAGAAGAGTAAAGTGAGCGTGGCCCTCAAATTCATAAAACAATGTCGAAAGTTTAAAAACATACCAGCCTTCTCCAGATCTTGCGAATAGATGACAATCGAAATAACAACCGACAGCAAACCACTGAAACTGTTAGTTAGCGGAGATTAGCTGGTTTCCGATCCATAGCAGCGATTTTATTCGACAAAAGAATCAACTCTTCGAAAATTTCATTCAAGCGTACATCCCTGCATCGTTGGATGGTGCACTTCTGTAACCATCCGGACGGAAGAAGGGGATCTTTTTCGGGAACGATTGCGCTTCCAGCTGTTCGAAATGCGAAATGTCGTAAAACAGTATCGTAAACTATCTGAGTAACTGCTCCCAATCCGTCGGCAGAAAGCCACCTGGAAGAATCCTGGATCTCACAGCGCAACTATCGAAAGATAAACAAACTTTGACGTTTAACTTTTTGCAGGCAACTTTGCCTCCATAAATGCTGCCATAAATCTGAACGGGTTAGGATCAAGCAAAATGGCTTTAGATAAATAGAATTCAGCCTGCAAGTTTTCTTCATAAAAGCCATTTTAAAACCTTATTAATTTATTAAAGAATTCTTGAAAGCAAAACAACTTTTTCACATATGTCCCATGAAAATCAACTTTTATGCCACCGCCATGTTGCGATTTGTTTGCTTGGTTTTGTACAATCTTCGATTTTCAATCAATATTTCCTTAGATATAACTATATTTTGGAAAATTTAGCAATAAGCAAACATTTAAATGCGAAAATAATTTAAAAAAATCTCGGCCAAGCTCGATCTGAAGAATATATTATTTTTTTTTTTTCGATGTTAAATAATTAGTTAAATCGACGTTTTACGAGAATGGACTTAATTTTTTCGATGTTTTAACGTACATTTCACATTAAATTTAATATGGCACTTAAAACTAGGCCACTTAATCAGAAATATTGTAATAAATTTGGATATTCAACAAGATTTTTATACCATCAGTTTCTATTTTACTAATTTTGATAAGATCGGATTCATAAATCCTTTTCTATCTTGATTGATGCTTTCCTAGTGGATTCAGCATGCGGCTAGGGGAAAGGCTCGGAAAGGGTTTTTATTGTTGCTAAATAGCTTTTATTGTAGCTCTCAAATGGTTCTCAATGCGTTCTTCATACAACCTTTTGCAGCAAATCAATCTTGAAGAGCTTCGAGAATACACCCTTCAGAACTTTCTCCAGGGTGGCCCAACTAGACAAAATAGCCTTGACCAGGGTTTTATGAATGTTGTTTTATAGTTGCTTTGTAGTATTTCATAAAACTTAAAATGTTACTTGGGAAGGAAATTTCTGCATCATTTCGAGCACTTCAGGGTAACTTCGATAACTTCATGGCGGCTCCATCAGCTTCAAGGATATCCGGAGAGCTTAAGCAAAGTCTTGAAAACGTCAGTAAAGTTCAGAGAACTTTAAGAAAATTGTGGAAACTTTAATGAAGTTCCAATACCCTCCAGGAAGAAAGATCAAGGAAGCTCAGAGATCTTAAGGCTGTCACAATAACTTCAGGGACGTCCAGACTTTCGGACAAGTTTTATGATCCGTGAACGTAAATTTCGATGAATTGAGGACAACACCATGAACGTTTTGGGAATATTTAAGAAATTCCTGGAATCTCAGAGAACTCCTAAAAATTTTAAAGAACTATGAACATATTTTTTAGGAATTTCTCAGAAGCTATCGAGAATGGATTGAATGGATTTTCCGCTAAAATGTTCTGCAGCATTTCTCAAAATCAGGTGCATAATTGTGCACCTCATGATTGTTATGCTTTTTCTGGCGTCTTGAACAAAGCCCTACCTAAAGGAATTTTACATGGCACTGGGTTGCTGGACAAGTTTCAGCTTATATATCAAATCTGGAAATAATTCCGGTTCGGATAAGATCTAACGAGTTAACTTAGTTGTGTGTCAACAGTAGCATATATACATCATCAACAACATGTGCCATCTCTGCCCATTATGGCTCTGTCATAGTGCTAATGGTACCCATTTTTTACCATGACAATTGCCACGAGCCTGTTCGCTTCTATTAATACCGGAATTAATAGGAAATAACTCACTTCCGGTACCTTCTACTGCACTTGACACTGTCCACCTCTCTGTCACGAACGATAATTTGCGGCTCAAAAAAGAGCAACCGTTCCCCATTATAGTAAATCCCTGCAAATTAATTTCATGCCTTACCTGTCCCAAATTGTTGAACCCATATTTATCGGCGATGATGTCGGCGACCGTCGGCCCACTCGGGATGTACACGGCAAACTCGTTCAGGTAGATCGGTATCGGTCGGTTTCGACCGCCGCTGCTGGGGCGACGCCCTTGGCCATTCGCACTGGCAATCGCGCCGAAAATGCTGTCACTACCGGTTGCACTATTAATTATAGCATCGGTGCTAACATTATAATTATTGGACACATTATCATCATTATTTGCATTAACATAATCAACATCATTTGTTGAAATTAAATTCGCTAACGACTTCAACGCGGGGTGGTCGGTTCCGTTCAGGCTCGGGTCCAGCATCAGGACACCGAAACCGGTGGGTATCGACTGCGCCAACAGCAGCAGCAGCGATGCCGAGCACAGCAACAGTGCCATGCCGGAAATGTGATACCGTCGCTGGTGGAGGCATTCCTCTCCAGGAAGATGATGCCGGTGACAGTGCGTCGTATTCTTCTTCTTCTTCAGCTGGTAGCCCGCTACTTCCGCCCGTTGCTCGGGAGCGGAATCACTTACGACCATATTAGCTGGGCACGGTGCTCCTGTTGCCCTCGGCGGTCGTGGATATGACGATGGATCGTGACGGCGGCGATGGTGGTAACGTTTCAACACTCGCTATCGCGCTCATAAACTTCGACTTTACTATTCACTCGCGCAAACACTCAGCCAGTTAAGATCAGGGACACGGACACCGCCTACCGGAAATGCTACTGAATGGAATCAATTTTTCCTGCACCACTTCTCACACTTGAATCACGGTAAATTAATTATTTCAATTTCCCACCCAAACCACGAATAAACCACGAAGCGTGCGCGCGCGAATTTCAGCTCTCTACCGCCTTTTATTTTTTTTTAGCTCAGTAGCAACCGAAGAACATTTTTTTCCTTTTTCTTGTGGGTGGGCTTTTCTTCGAATTCAGGAGGGGGTATTACGAATTCAATGCACGCAAACACGACGACGGCGACGACTGATGATGGGCGGCAGAAGGACGCGCTACTACCGGTTGCGTGCTGTTGTTCCGAGAATGGGGCTTCTGCAATGGGAAGGAGGAGAGAAAGAGAAAAACATTATCATTATGATGCTTTGCTTGCATGACTGTAAATCATTTTCGCTTATCTGGGGAGGGGGGCTTGTTCGTGCGCAGGAACCCATCCCTTACTCACGACTTTGGTTCTTACGAAGACATTCCGCAACCGCGGACATCGATTCCACCAGAATCCACTAGACTACAAATGATCAGGAGGAGAAGGTGTGGCTGGGAAGAGCACCGGTTGCTCCTTACAGAAAGAATAAAAATGGAATAACAGTACAAGTGGCATTCAACAATAATAAATGGAATGGCAGTAATTGGTGGGCGCTGCCAAACATTGTGTATTATTCAAATAAAACCTGAAATGATGCCAGGTAAGTGCACCGCCTTTCAAACACGGATTGAAACGGCAAAATCCCACCTATCTAAAGCTACAATTCCTAGTAGGGTAAATGTCACCTCGTAAAAATCGTATCGCACCCGAACTCAATTAGTGCCAGCCAGACTGACCTCATAACTTGCCAGAGTAGAGGTTCATTTCGGTGCCATACCTCTGCTTGCGGTAGGATTTACAACCTTGAGTGTCCTCGGGCAACGAACCAAGTAAGGTATGGTGCAATAGAATGTGGCTGTGACAGATTTATTGTCAGGCAGGTAGGTTCCCCCTTCAGCACTCGAACTTTTTTTTTCTGTCTTACCCAGAGCAGTGACCGAAATAATATCTGAGCATTCTTTCTTCTTCTGGGAACGCCATTCCGTCGAAACGAATTATGGTAGTTCGGAGGGAAACACACTTTCCGGAGTGGAACTGTGTGCGGGTGCGTTTGTCACTCTAGTCCTCGGCGGTGGTTGCGTCTGAAAGGAATCGTTCCCTCGCTGTATTCGTGAAAGTACCTAAGAAGGTACCATCAAAATGTAAATCACAAACTGGTCAAAGCAGAATAAAGACAAGCATGAACTCGGATTTACATGTGAAAATAGGTGCTCAATTTAAGACAATTTGACCTCTTTAACTTCAGCTTTTGTTCATCCAAATTGTGTTCATTGAGCTACTGCCGCTCATGGCAAGTCCGTCCCATAGTGCAAATCAGCAAGCCGAGCAAGCAAACGTGTTTTACGTGCTTCTTACAGAGCAACCTGTTTGGTTGGTTTTCAAAAAAATTCAGTACAAAGTTATTGAGTTCATCGAGTGGAAGTGGTTCATTGAAAAACTCAGTTTTGGCAAAAATGCAAATGGGATCGACTTGCGATCAGAAGCAGTATGAAACACCTAATCACAGACAAACAGACATAACACTCATAAGCTGTTCATCTAACAAGCATTTAACGGTCAATTTGAAAGTATCTCAGTTGGTAGTACTGCCACCTGTGGCGCGCATAGTAAATTCCCTTGCGTTTGACGTTTACACACTATCGCCATCTGTTCAGTGTACTACTCATCACAGTGTACTCAACAGATGGCGGTAATGTTTTAGCAACGATGTTTTACAATGAGAAGTATTCAATGTGCTACGTCTGTTTGTCTGTGACGTAATGTTCAACCACCAACCTATTTTGATGCTACTGGGAAGATTTGTTCTGCAGACACAGATCACAAGCCATTGTTATCGATTTTCGGATCAAAAAGGAATTTCAGTTCACTCGGCAAGTCGACTGCAACGCTGAGCCCTGAATTTTGCTGAATTATGATTCCGACATCCAGTACGTTTCCACGATCGATGTGAACTAGGGTATGTTCACAAATTACGTGACACATCCAATTGTAGTTAATTCTGCATTTTTTTTTCATTTCGTGTAAATGTTATTACGCGGACATCGTTGCATGCTACTTTCAGAATTCACACACGCGCAATAGCAGCTATTATTATAAGAAAAACGTGCAACATATAAACATAAGACCATATCATTCAACCTGTGGACTACAGGGATCTCTTGATTGGTATATCTTCTCATTTCGCGATTGGATCATGTGACTAGACGAGGTAGGAAAAAGTCTCGCAAGCAAGGATCAGGAAACGCTCAAGGATTTGACAAAATTTCACCAGCGTCGTATAGGAGATCTTGAATCATTGCCACCCCGGAATGCAGACTTCAAGGGATGGTAAAAAACTAGCGTCATAATCATCGTCAGTGAAGGAACGGTTGCCGATCGTGAAGACAAACTTCAACACAGTCCAGGAATCTCGGAAGGGTTGCGTTAGTTGTTCAGCAGATCACCTCCTGTTTCAATGCCAGGTTTTTCAGCGAATGACGTCATCCGATACGTGCTCATGGTCTGTGTCAGAATTGCCTGAAACAAGGTCACCAGGTAAGGGACGTCATCATACGCTAGACTGCTTTAAGCCAGAAAAGGACGACGCTAAGGGTGCTGCCACTTCGAGAACCGCTAGAAATGAATCTTCCAATCATCCACTTGGAGATGCTACATCCACAATCTCCCAAGTTGCCAACGCGCAGCTACAAATGTTACAACTGCTACCTCATCCAATAGTTACTCGTCGCAAGCACTGTTGGCAACAGCGATTCTTATCATCGAAGATGACCACGGCAACCAATATCCAGCTCGATCTCTGCTGCATTCTGGATCGGAGAGCAACTTTTTGACTGAACGGTTGAGTCAAAGTTTGAAGGTACCGCGAGAAACGGTGGACATTTCCGTCGTTAGTATTGGAGAATCAGCAACCAAAGTAACAGCAAATCCGAGCAGTGCGGTGCGATCGAGAGTTTCAGGCTTCTGCTGAGAACAGGATTTCCATCGATACTACGGGATGGAAAATTCCACAAGATTCGACATTCTTTGGCAGATTCGACATTCTTTGTATCGAGAAATGTGGACTTAGTGCTTGGCATCAGGGTTGCTTCCACTCACTTGCTATAAAAAAATGTTTTTCGGAATTATAAAATCGTTAGATTTTGTGTTTATTAATTTATTTGATAAGTCTCAATCGAATTAACTTTACAGAGCCGAGGATCCTTGTTCACTATACAATACATCTTAAAAGTATAGTCAAAAAGTACATCACAATAAACAATTTATCTTCCGCTACCCAATAAGCATCCTCCACCAGAATGGGAGCCACTTCCAGTGGTTTCATTGTTTAGCAGATTCGCCAACGGGGTGCAGAGACTGAAAGAACTGCTGATGAAGAACAATGAGGAGGACCAAACAATGGTTGCTGTCGAGTAAACAGACGATCGCGTGACACACATTGAGAGTGGTCTGCTTTTGTCGACAGCCGAGTGAACACTGCCATAAAATCGTTAGATGTTATTATGATATTTTGAACGTGTAAGTTAAAAGAAGCGGCTGCAAAGTATGTGTTTGACACATGGAACTGGTCAATTTAGCTTCCAGAGTGACACAATCAGCGTTTTTATGATTCGTGAGCGTTCACTCAGAGTGAGCATTCACGAGTCGTAAAATCGCTGATTGTGACTATCTGAAAGCGAATTTAACAGGTTGGTGTCAAACGCTTGCCTTTCAACTTCGTCTTGTATCTAAGAAGTACAAAATATCATTATAACATCTAATGATTTACATAGTTGTAGCGACGACGACGAAGGCAACTGGAAAACGTCTTGAACGCTAAAGCAGCCCTTTTCTGCTTTCAACACACAATCTTCCCGTGAAGAAAACCGACGGTAAAACGGACTAGCGAAACCTTTCGGACGATGAAAAAAAGCGTTTGTTGTTTACTCTTCGAGAACTTTCTTGGAATGAATTTTATTTTTTGACGTTTATCGCATGTTCGTTTAGCGCGCAGGGTTGAATATATAGGAAAACTAATGCGCACGGTATTTATATTATTGGTTCGAATTCAAGGTAGATGTAATGCAAGGTAAGTACAATTATATAAATTTTGTTTTCAGGTTTCACATGTTGCAGGTAAGTATTTTAGGTATTACAGGTAAGTCTTTCAGCTGTTACAGGGAACTATAATAAGTTTCCTAACATGCCGCCCCCGTTGAAACCGTCCGTTTCAACCTATGTCGTTGGTTGACGATGATGTTGCTGGAGCGATTTCCACCAGATCCGAGTCATCCTTCTCGTTTGCACTGTCAGGCTCGATCGGAAGAACTGCTACTTCGGTAACTGCCCGTTTGTATTGACCAGTGGCAGTTTTAACCACCACCACGCGAACTCTTCCATCTTTTCCAGCGAAAGTGTCGACGATCCGTCCAAGTGGCCATTGCAACGGAGGGCAATTGTCACGCTTCAACAGTACTAGTTGACCCTTCTGGATATCCATGGAAGGGCGTTTCCACTTGCTACGCTGATGTAACTGACTCACATAGTCACGTGACCAGCAACGCCACAGATGCTGGATCGAGCGTTTCATATCCTGCAAACGGGTGAGTCGATTAGGGGACAAATCGCTCAGGTCTGGTTCGGGGATTGATAGCAGAGGCTCCCCAATCAAGAAGTGTCCTGGTGTTAGTGCAGTTAAGTCTTCAGGAGAGTCAGAAACGGGAGCAAGAGGTCGAGAGTTTAGTATAGACTCAATTTGCGTTACGACAGTGAGAAACTGGTCCACCGAGAAAGAGTTTTGTCCCATAATACGGCGAAAATGATACTTAAAGGACTTTATTCCAGCTTCCCATATCCCTCCAAAATGAGGAGAACGTGCAGGAATGAACCGAAAGTTGATGCCAGCTCCTGCGCAGTAATCGCCCCATTGCTTGTCATGGAATTGTTGCAGGAACTGTTGGCGCAACGATCGTAACTCGCGGTCCGCCCCGACGAATGCGGTCGCGTTATCGCAGTGCAACTCGAGGACTCGACCACGACGCGCGACAAATCGTTTAACGGCGTTTATGCACGCGGCGGACGACAAATCAGCGACGACCTCGAGGTGCACGGCCTTCACCACCATACATACGAATAAACCGACGTACATTTTGACCGACGCTCCTCTCCCACTCAATGGACGGACGAAAAACGGCCCACAGTAATCCATCCCAGAATAAGTAAAGGCTCGGGCTGGCTTCAAGCGAACGGATGG